ATTAGCACTCAGGTAGATGGTGTGGAAATCAGATCTGTGGGGTCTGACGGGAGTGAACTTCCGAGATAAGTGGTTAATCTGCTATTTATCACATGATTCGGACAGTATCAGGAGAGAGAATTAGTCGCCAGTCCCCAAAGCACTGCTGTTGGCTTCAGGATAACAAGTGGTGCATAGGGGTGAAGACTTTCGTGTCCACCACCAAAGGCGGCAGGTAGATGTGTTCTTTGTTTGGTTGACTAATAGAGCTTTGATGCGGTGTAGTCTCTGTTCTGACGAAGGTAGATACAGCTATGCTCGATGATGTAAGCAATGGGCAGGCAGGGTATCTACAGGCTATCCCAGGTGTATTTTTACTTTTATTTTTATTTTATATTGTTTTTTTTACAGATGAGGGGCCAGTTTTTCTCATCTGTGGTTTGTGGCGTTGCCAGATACATAACTCATCCGTGGCAAGTCCGACACCAGCAGCAAAAAACAGAAGTTAGCGGTACTTCTTCTGATTTCCTCAATGCGTCCCTCGCCTAATTATACCAAATGCCCCCAGCGTTAACTTACTTCGCATTTTTCCAAATTTTGTGCATGAAAATAAACGAAAACCTTGGTTTGAACCGTTTGAACTCGTGCTGAAGAAATAAAGCAAGATTTACAGACTCTTAACTAACAGTAATAACGATAAGATAAGCTTCTTTTGTTGTTCATTTTACAACTTCTTAGATAGAATCCGGTTGTCAGTCGAATACAACTGATTGCAAGCCTGTTGCTGGTGCTGCGCCAGAAAGTCACCACATGCTGGGACGTCATACACTAGAATGTATACTTTTTAGTCGCTCCATAATGCGTACCATATATGCTCAGTACACGCACAACTCAAAAGCTTCGCGCAGTGTATAGGTTGCTTAAACTGTGCGAGTATCAGTTCCACGCTCGGTGGTGGAATAGCTTAGTGTGTAGCCTATGGGTTTTCCTCCCAACTGAAGTGAAATTTTGCTGACATCTCCAGCATTTGCAAATCTTACCCAATCCAAGACGACTGCACTCCTAAAATGTCATCACACAGATCAGAAATGTAGATGGAATCAACCTTCTATTTTTCACAAACCTTCACGGTGTTTGGTAGGTGTGCCGACGTAACGAGTCCAAGTGTTAAAAGAATTTGTTCACTGCCGAAGCAAAATGTTCGCTTGGACCGACGCCCTGGAAATGCATTCAGGGGACCTTCGGAGCGTTAAGTTAACCTAGTAGCAAGAGGTGTGAAGGCGTTGCCGGAAGTGGCTTACTCAAGTGTTTATATGACGAGTGGGTTGGCTGCCGGTGTATTTGGGACATGACGGTAGACGAGGTCGGGGAGTAGAGAGTCGGTCCTGTACAGCGGGATCTGACCACAAAATGTTTTACAGGAAGATTCAGAAACGGTATCGTGGAGGTTTATCGGGATTGACAAGGCCGCATTTAAGTACACATAAGCCCCATCCACCTCCCGCAATTATAATCATTTTAAATAATAAGGTTACCTTGACAAAGACGTCAAACCTGTGTTAGGTTATTGTGAATGCGAAGACTGAGTGAGGATTACGGAGAACCAACTATTGAAAATCGCGGGGTGGGCTACAAAGGTTTAGCAACATGCGAACGAGAACTCCAACATTATCACTTCTGGTTTCGAAGGTGGGGAGCTGGTTAGCAGGTTTGGTGTCTCTATGCTAGGTCTATGTACAAGAGGATTATGGAGCCTCTGCCGCATGCATATCTGATTCGTTTCGTGACGTTTCTTATGCCTGCTGTTACCTTGCAGTGGTTTTCGTCTAATCGGTGTTTGATTACCTGGGCCGTCGTTTTGAGGAGGTGCAGATTCTCCCCTCTGGATCGGAATTTTCGATGGGTGCTGGTGGTGTCGCTTGCATCGTCGTGTTTTTGACGCTTGAATTTGCTGTCCAAGGATGTAGGGCGAACCCGAGTGTTTTGTTTCCTCGCGCTTCTTATGGCAGTTTCACCGTCAGGATAACCCTGTGAGGCCTTTCAAGTCGTTTGTGGATTGGATGGAATCATCAGAGAATGTCTTTCGGTGTTAATCCAAAAAGCTTGTTCTCTTAGAGGACTCGAAAGCTCGAGAAGTAGCTTTCCAGTCGAACGAGCTTTGCGTGATTTATTAGGCCGAGGTTTCGTCTCTATCTTGTTTGTACCAACTTCGAGCCCATCCATGACCAGCGTGACCGCCCCAGTGTAAATAAGGCAATAAGGCATCGAGTTTCCGTGCTTCATACCTTGGCACTTGGCTTCATGAGTGATGACCAGATCGACAATCAGGCTAGCAAGTTTTGACCGAGGATAGCTCGGGGGGTCGTGGTTCATGGTTTTGAAGAATCACCTATGAATGTGTTTACTTCAGCCGCCGCATGAGGTGAACGCATAAACACCGGCGTCGATTGGGCCGATTGATCAGTGATTATGATGCTCTTGCAGCAGTCCCCGCAGTCGTGGTTGACGCCTTTGTCACATCTGTCGGTGGGCTACGGTGCATGTTTACACACAGCTTTCCTAATTGTCCGCTAGAGAAATAAGCGACGGTAATTCTACAAATATTAGACGGTCTGTCTTAGTAAATGTGCCTCACACCAGACGGGGCTGTTTAAATGTTTAATTGCTTAATAACAGGCAGTGAGCTTACGAGACGGACCGGATACAGAGAAAAATGTTTTCCATATTCTGTGCGTTCATCTGGCGGACGGGCCTGTGAATCAGCACACCGCGGACAATTCCCTTATCATGGCAACATCTGTTATATGGCGGTTGGCCTCGTGGCACTGGCGACTGACAGGGCCGGCTCTCTGGCCTTAGTGGCCACGACAGACGTTATCAAATGGTGCACGTCTCCACATAAAATTGTGAAAATAACTCTCCAACACTGGTGCCGGTTGTCCAGACCGGCCGAAAAATTGTCACATCATCATGTGTTTGCATAATTAGGGACCTCATGGAGACTGTGTCGTTGCTTATCTTCAGCACATTGGATTTGCCGACAAGGTGCGCTAGCTACCTGTGCAAACCTCCTAAATGTGATGCCTGTTGCAGGGGTAGGCCTCGGTCTTGCAGGTTGTATTCCTAGCATGGGAATGGGAAAGAAATGGGAACGATGAATTGGAAAATGACCTGCGGGAGTAAGCGTTTCATTGAAACAAATAGCAGTTCTACTCAAGTTGGCAACATATATTGACAAAAGATGAAGATGCAGATTCCAATGGAGATTTTCACCGCCTCAGAACATTTGGGGAACTGAACCGGAATTTTATTGTTCTCATCAAAACGCTTTTCACCACAGAGTGGTCAGACTTATTGTGCCCCTACTTTAAGATGAGGGTGCTTGTGTGCCCGGTGACCTGGTTAGTCGCTTACGACTACGAAGTAAACCACACGAAGAAGGCAGCCACTTCCCCTGAAAGTTGTTTACGTTCTCAAGATGGATATTGGTCGCATGTCTCATGTGACTCAAACGGTTGTGTTTACAAGTGATGTATACCTGGTCGTCACTTGAGTATGAGACAAAATCTACATGGTTATTTTTCGGCAAAACCTGCTTACTCATCCACGGCGTCAAAAAGGGCCATGCAGTGGAGCATGTGTCGGCCAGAGGTGCACACTATTTGCGGGAAAAACGCCGTGCTCATGAAATGGATGCGCTCCCAAACGGCTTGGCATGTACGAAAATAGCACGGCACCAGGTCGCAGCTGAACACAACTTTAATTACCCGCATCTGTGATGCTATTTTTTCATCAGGAAGGTAATAAATGCGGCATTATGCGCCTGTCTCTTTTCGAAGAAGATGCACTTGACCGGTGGCTGGGCCCATGAACGACAAAGGTGTACAGCTTTTGAGAACGCACTACAAGTGAATCTAAAATAATTTACATGGGACGATTAGTGGGTGCGTGACATCAGCTTTCAGGACGTCTGTGAAACCCCAACACTGCCATTTGGCGCGTGCCTAAAATCATCACCCTCAGATCCCACCAAATGTAAACGGCCACGTTCGCAAAGTTCTACAAGAATGGTCGACACGCCATCTATCTTAGTAAGCGAAACGACCTCTCTGAAAATGGAGTTTGGGGCTTGAGACGGCAGTTGTATGCAGCGAGCAACCCTCCAAATCGGCTCGCAGTACATTGCTGCAAAACTCACTGATGGAACACCTTACTTCGACAGAGCACCGTAAGTCTTTGACTCGTCGTGTGCCGGGCGTTGGGTGACGCCGAGCCTGTCAATAAAGCTCGCTCGTTGCTCCGGACGGTAGGACATCATCAAGAAGCCATCACTCTGACTATCACAAAACCTCGTCTGACAACCACTGGAACGTGTGCACTGCCATAGAAACCCAACAAATTCACTAGCTGCGACGAATCCCGAGGATTCGGCTTCGTTTTGTGGCGCGGTGCGCTGAATACGTATACGACGTAGCCGGCGCTCATGTATTCTTTTAAAGCTTCCTCATATACAGTAAATTAGAAACCAAATGCTCCAAAAAATATTGCAACGCCTTCATAGACCGACCACTCTAAGTCGTGACAGGCATTGAAAATATGAACTGCGCCCATAGGGTGGACCCAGATATGGTGTTCAGGCAAATGTGCCTTTCTAGGAAGAGTTGAATTATTCGAATAAAATCCTTCAGCTGCGGCCATTTATGTACTTGTTTGCCCTGTTCTAACTACTGTTTCAGAGAAATTTTCGGTATGTCTAAATGTTGTTCCTTAGAGCAGGCGAACCTGCCTTAAAATTAACACAACGCGCTTTAACGCTCCTCTTGTATCCTTGATAGTGACAGCAGAACTTTTTCAAAAACCATACGCCATCTAATTCGGAACCAGGTAATCCTATGTTGAGTCACCTTCACGAGAGTTTTGTGGGCCGCTGACCACGCCCTCAAATTTGTTCAGTCGATTGAGATCGCTAGGTTGTCCCCAGGTTACGCACGATAACATATAATTCAGCGTTTCGAAACGAGATGGGGGAACAGGGATCCCGGTTTGAAAGCTTCATGCGGCGGACCAATCGGGGTATAAGTATTTCAAGTGTGCAGATTAGCGACAAAACTTCAAATATCAAGGAGGATTTGAACCGACACTTGCATACGACACTATCAAAGGACTTTTACGTGGCAAATATTAAGGACTATTACCTGGCTTTAGCCCACACGGTATGGGAACGACTGAGTACAAGGTGGTTGAGGACCCATCAACAACAGTACCTGAGTGACCCAAAGGTTTGCTTGTCATATTGCAAAATACTTGATTTTTAGAGAGTATACTATCTTTCACTGGAATTTTATATGGGACGTTCCCTGGCGAACGCCATGATGAATCTTGGAATCTCAGACAGTGTTACACAAGCGCTATATGACGTAAGTTCTTAATATTGTCTGTAGGCTATGACCGTAGCAGCAATTTTGCCTGAAGCATATCGATTCTCAGCACGGGTCGGTTTATGATGTTGCCCGAAGGTTATATGGAAATTCCCGCCAACGTAAAGATATACCGAGTGTTAAGTAGCCCAGGCTTAGAGAATGACGATCCGGCATGTTAAAAAAGCGTATATATCCCACGAACACAATGTCTGAACTAAGTGCAATCCAATACGGCGGAGCATTCACCGCCGGTTCAACGCTTTGATGAAGAAGTAGAAGGAAATTTTGTTAGGGCATTTCTCTCCAGAAATGCGATTGGAACATCAAGCGAGTTTACGGAAACGTTTGTAACATTCACCCTAACTCAAAGTTAGTCGACTGACCGGCTTCAGCCATCATGTTTCACGGTTACTAGGTTAAAAGTTGATGAATAACGCCGACAATTGAACATAACTAAAAATTAAAAGACCATCGAGAATGCTAGACTGAGAAAGTGGAAGATTTAAACCCGCTGACTTTTAGGCTTTTGTGCAGGCATTTAATGCCACATACAAGGACTCAGGGATAATTACAATAACCCGACAACATAACAATAGATATCACTGTAAGTACCCCAGTTAAAAGCCGAGCAACCAGAGAGAAGCGACAAAAACATCAATTACAAGAACACGCAATCTGAACACATTGCAGGTAGCTCCTCCCTGTGTTGTCTTTGAAGAATCATCCGCATAGCCCGCGTGGTGATCATATATTGGCTTTGACTTAAACTCAAAGGCCTGGTACATGTTCTGGTTGGTGAAACCATGGAGCAATTTGTGTCTGTTTAACACCGTTGACTCACCTCATTGGGGCAATTACTTGAGATCAATATTCGGTAGAATTGTTGGCCTTTGTTCACGCCCGTTAGCTGCACCAGAAATTTTTATTTAGTGCGCTTTTGGTTTGAATAACACGAGGTAACGTCGACCTTTCTCCAGCAATTTGTTCTGTAGGATCTTGAAATGCATTAAGATGTGAAGTATGGCAATAACATTTTGATATAAAACTGTGCGCTTTACCGGTTGGCTTCTTTCGGGCAAAACTTCATAGCAATATTGAGTTTGGGGACGAAAGTGATCAGGCCTTACGTAATTGTCTGTAAGCATCGTTGTACAAGTCTAGGTTTGAAAAATTGCTGAAGCAGTTAATTTTGCGCAATTTTGGTGCCCTCTTAATAGCTGTATCCAGAAGAAGGATTTGTAAGAGCAAGAGCAGATCCTGCAACACTACCTTCAACAAGAGGCCATATAAATGTCAAATAAACTAGCCTTAGCCCTGTATCATCTGTTTAGCTTGTAAAATTCCGCTTTGGTGCTCTTACAGCCAGTTTTAGTGTGATGCTGGTCTTTCGGGTCTCCAGGGTTTTATAACACAAGGTCTTGAGCTAGCTTTATATGAGCGTCATGAGTGCCGGTTCGAAGGTGCTGGTATTTTTTGTGGTTGACGGTAAGTTAAATTCGGCCACCATGGTGGATAGCGTTCAAAGCTACAGGCTCAACTCTAGGTCGTTATAAAGTACAGATATGGTGATACGTCCGCGTGCAACCATCAGATGACTTAGGTTCCATGATACTGGACAGACTACAGCTGCATACAAAGAGCCACATTTTTACTACTCTGGCTACCGAAAATACTTAATCCTGGAGCGCTAGAATCAGGCGGTGCTGACATGTTTGATCGACAGTCTCAAAGAAATTGCGGCGGATAACACTGACCTGACTATGGTTATTCAGGACTCGTGTACTTCTCGGACGCCGCAAGGTCGATCATGCAAGAACCTAAGATTACCACTCGAAGCTAGACATCCTGTTTGTTTCTTGCTAATCTAACAGCAAGCGCTTTGTGTATTTTTGTATGAGCTACTGTTTTTGTTGTATCTTCTCACCTTCCCTTACGCTACTGGCTTATAGTTAGAAGACAAGAAGGCGACCAGAAGGAACTGTGTAGTAAGGCAATTACAACTCTATATATATATATATATATGACCCAATTGTTACCGTATTTAATGGTCTATCCACTGTCAACCAACCAGTGTCTCCTGCAAGCCCACACCGGTGCTCGGGCGGTTGTTCCTTTGTCTCAGTTGATCATAGATGGCCGTCTGTGCGCTTGTGTACTGGGTGCCTTGGCCATGGATTGGACGTGAACTTTCTGTGTTCCTTTTTGTCCTTTCACCGGCACATGATGAAATCGGACGTGATTCAGACGTATAGGCGTAGTCACAAGGCCTTGTTTGACATCATTGTTCCGCTGCCCAGCCGTGTTAGTCTTACGCATTGTGTATTAAGACGTCGTAGCTGAGCTGTACACTTGACTGTGGGTGCTCGATATGGAGATTTAGATTTCTTCCAGAGTATCTGATTACTGTATGAGATGTAGAGGGTTGAAATTGATTGCAAACTTGCTTAAATGAGACGAAAAGTCCATCCACTACTTTTTGAATATGATTGTGTATTCTCCGCTTAGGCTAGTAGCCATACTAAGGACATATATCCTTCAGCTTCTGTCCGTACGCAAGGGTTTTCTGGGGTGAACAATGATTTTCTGTTTAAACTGACGCTTAAGTCAGTATTCAGTACATTAGATCCAAAAATAAAAAACACTAGGAGTATTTTCAATCTTTGTTGGACGTTTAATCCATGCCGTTTCGCGCTTTGCGGAATGCGATGGAACACTGCAACGTTCGACACTGCGACATACCGAACCATAATGTGTCAGGACAAGGATAACAAAATTCCGTTAATTAAGGCCACGACCATTAGAGCGAACCATGAATGATTCAATGGTTTATGGTTAGGACGGTCAAGTTAACTTTTTGTAGGCCCTTATATCAGGCTAGATAATGTTTGAGAAGCACAGTTTACTGCTTACATGATCATCATGCCTGGTGATTTGTTAAAAAGTGTTTTTAAATTTGTTTTGATGAGTTAGCTCGTATTGTTTTCAAAACTGGTGTATTCCTGTCATTTTTTCGAACCTGAGACCCTGGATAAGGATATTACTCGCCATCTGTGAAGTTTCGATCAACCTGGCACTTATTAAGTCATTGCGCAACCGTGAATACTACAAGAAGAACTAATGTCATACCAAATTAACCGTCGCATGATATCATCCGCCATATTGCCTTACTTTCTGTGTACAAAAGGATAGTGAGAAAAAGGAGGACCCTGCCATTGTCTTCTTTATTTATTCTCACCTATTCTCCTTTAGTACCCTTATTGTGGGTTCATCCGTTAAGACAGGCAGTACCGTTTGTCGCACATCAACTTGAGCCCTGTATCTGCTTTTAAGCCGGTGCCGACTACCTTGGGGGTCTCCAGATAACTCTCCAAGTCTTGGTATCCGGTTTATCGAGATGTTTTGAATTTGTGCACTGAAAATCAGAGAGTGACTGATCGGGCATCAGAATCGCTGTAAACTGTCGTGTACTTCCTATGGAAAACAATAACTAAGGATCGAACTACGACCGTTGAGCTACCTGCTCCACCACACTTTTCTTGCATCCAGCAGCGCATTTCTACAGACCCAGAGGCTGTTGAAGCAGAATGTTCAGGGATCGATATCGTCTTCATTCATCTTGAGGGAAGATTCTTGCCGGACCAGATACTAGTTGACAGTTGTCTCTGTGTGTTCCTCCTGGCAACGTCCATGGAGAAGCTTCATAAGAGGAAAATTGCCCACTGTTTGTTTGTCGTGTCTGCTTATGGACCAACTGATTTGAGCTCTTGTACAATCAAAGACAACTTCTATGACGTATTGACTGCCTTGTTGCGATGGGCTAAAATCTCGTATGCCCTTGCGATTTCCATGGTTTTGGAGGCAGAGATGGACAGAATCCTAGTATATAGAACTCACTTGAATGATGAACTCCCATTAAACGCGGTACGCAAAGGCAATATCGAACAATTCCCCTCACTGTATGATCATCTCAGGCTGTTTCTGTCCACTACTAACCCTATAAATCATCATCGGTAAAAATGGTATATTTGCCATACAGTGGTTCCAAATATCACAGTTCTGTTTAACGATAATTTTTGGGTGCGGTGGGGTAGATAAATATGCATTGGAGGTGTAAGCTGATAGGACACATCTAAATACCGAAGTGTCAGTGGACTCTTCGTTGAGAAGATCGAGAGGGGAGCTATACAGTGAAGGCAATAGCTTGGGTGTGCATGCATCATTGTGAAAAACACTAGGCAATGTCTAGCAACGTCTATAACCATTAATGTGTCCCGCCTCGAGGTCTTTATCGGAGGATACTACAATGACCAGCGCAGCTCAGGTTACTCGTCATTGCTCTCATAATTTGCTGCCAAATCATTGTTTGACCCCTATCGGCTCGTTTCCACTCTTCGTGTGGCTATATGAAATGTGTCCTTCGTGAAACTCGGTCGGCTGTCATATGGAGCACGTAACCAAACCATCGCAATCCGTGGAGTGTGATCAGTTCAAATACCATGAATGATTTGTCCCTCCCTCAAACCATTGACACTTCAAAATTACTGACCTGGTGTCCCAACCAAATTTCTGGTTGGCCGGTGAGATTTGGTGTATTTTCGGAAATCCTGGTTTCAAATTTATCTCGTTTGTCAATCAAGACTATATTCTTTCCATATTCGTAAACAAGCATTTTAATCGCCTCTTGTCCCGGAAAGTTGGATTTGTTTCCGAATGTCTTCCGGACTTCATAAGAGTTATTGATTATTACATTGTTCTCCCGCGAGAACTGAAATCTTTGAGGATACTAGGGATCGGAGGCAAGTGGTCAAATGTCTTTCCGAAACACACCTAGAGAAACGGCAGCCTACATGCAAACTTACCTTAATCCTTTTCCAAGAGACAGTACTCATCCGCACGAAGGCATACTGAGCGCCCTCAATAAGCCGTTGAACTTCCTAATCAAACTGATCAACGGGTGAATTTTTTGGATTAATTTATTTAAAGTTGGAAACCCGCTGGATTGTTTACCTCTTTTA